CAGGCAGAGGCCGTGGGTCCCCGTCTGCCATCGTTGCGGTGGCGTCCGGCGCGTGGTTTGATCGCATGCGCCTTCTGCTCGCCCTGTGGGGGTTTAGGGAGTGCCGAGTTGTCCGCGCCGGTGCTTGCGTGATGTGGTTCCCCTCTGGCCTTCCAGAAACGCCGTAGCTTAGGTGGGAGATGCATTCAGCTTGCCGTGGTGACAGGTGGCGATGCCAGCCCACAGAGGGCTGTTGGGGGCGGGCGAGGCCACTCACGCGCCGTTGCCTCTACAGCACGTCCTGGAGCTGGAGGCCAAGAACGACGAGCTGCGGGCCATGCTGGAAGCGACCGACTGGGAGAAGGTGGAGCTGCTGAACCAGCTGGAGGAGGAGAAGAGGTGAGGCTGTGCCCGGAGCTAGGGGCTCCCTCGGGTGGGGCACTCCTGGCCTTCCAGGGCTGTGAGAACCAGAAACCAACGGGTGCCCAGTCCTGAGCGCGGCCTCACCGGGAGGGCTGGGGGGGGAGCTCAGTGGAGCCAAGCCACCCCCGGCCCTCCCTGCTGTGTCCACCTGGCCTGGTATTCAGGAGGCCTGTGCTGGGTGGCAAGGAACTGTCCTAACCCAGTGGGGCCCTGTGGGAGTCCCTGTGGTTAAGTCCCAGGCGGGAGGAAACCCACAGTACTCATGGGGCACGACAGCAGACAGACAGGGCTCAGGCTAGGCTGCAGACAGACGGACGTGGTGCTCAGGCCGGGGTGCAGACAGACAGACATGGGGCTCAGGCCAGGCTGCAGACAGACGGATGCGGGGCTGAGGCCTGGCTGCAGACAGATGGACACGGGGTGCTGTCCGAGACCGCCTTTTCAGATGGGCTCCCAGCAGTGTGGTGCCCAGGGGCACTGCCAGTGCCTGGCTCAGCCCCTCAGCTCCACATGCCGACTCGACAGTCACTGGGAGCCCCTCCCCCCGCCCTCCGCCCCCGAGTCATTGGCAGCTTCTCCCCCAGGGACTCAGTTGTTGTCCCAATGTGGAGACAGGTGCTGGCTGGGAGGGACTGGCAGGTGCCGCGGGTCAGTTTTTAACCACCTCTGTTAGCTGCGAGGCAGAAAGGGTTGATATGATACTGTACCTGGCGTTGGCTCGGCCTAGCTTCCTCCTGTAGCCTGTGGGTCCCACCCAGTGCTCGAAGCTGAGGGGACTCGCTGACTTTCTTTTTTTTCTTTTTGGGTCAACCCAGCGATGCTCAGGGGTTACTCCTGCCTCGCCACTCAGGAATTACTCCAGGCATTGCTCCGGGGTCCATAGTGGTATGCTGGGAATTGAACCCGGGTCGGCCACGTGCAAGACAAACGCCCTGCCTGCTGTACTCTCGCTCTGGCCCTCCCCGACTCTCTCAGCCCTCCTGTGTGTGGAGCCGGGGGCTGGGTCAGGCGCATCTACAAGATGGTGGCCCTCATGGGGGGCAGCAGTGACGCCCCTCACAACGTCTCCCTCTCCCCCACAGGAAAGTGGAAGACCTCCGGTTCCGAGTCGAGGAGGAGTCCATCACCAAAGGCGACCTGGAGGTAAAGCCCGGGCAGGTCCCGGAGGCTTGCAGGGTGCAGGCAAGGATGCGGGGCGGCCTGGCCGACCCCGCCGGGACCACTTCTGCTGGAGACTCCGAATCAGACAGGGATACCTGGGGTCATGCACCTGGCAGGGCCCGGCTGACACATCTCTGCTCCTTGGGGCTGGAGGCTGCTCTTGATGAGCGTTTTTCTCTCGTTCTGACATTCGGGTCTATGCCTTTGCCTCAGCTTTGATTTTCAGTCGAGCAGCACAAATCAAATCCTTTAGAACCCCATTTTTTAGAAGCTTTTCCTTAAAACAAGAAGAAGCAAAGAGTCAGTTTGGAAAAGAAAAATTTCTATTTCTGCTTCTTTTCCTTCCTGTTTTAAGTTCATGGAAATTTTGTTTTCCCACCAGAAGGAGGTGAAGTCCCTGCAGGTGGCCTCTGAGAAGCTCGCCAAGGAGAACGAGTGCCTGAGGACCAAGCTGGACCATGCCAACAAGGAGAATGCGGACATGATAGCCCTGAGGAAGTCCAAGCTGGAGACGGCCATCACCCCGCACCAACAGGCCATGGGCGAGCCGAAGGCATCCGTGAGCCAGGGCGTGGGCGCCGAGGCGGCCGAGCTGGCCGAGCTCAAGATGCAGATCGAGAGGCTACAGTTCGAGTACCAGCAGGAGGTGGAGAGCCTGAAGGCCCAGCAGGCGGCTGAGCGTGCAGCACACGCATCCGAGCTGAAGACGCTCAGGTCACGGCTGTTCAGGACGGCCCAGGAGCAGAAGAACAGCCTGGAGGCCGCATGGGCCAAGCTTGAGCAGATCGAGGACCAGCACCTGGTGGAGATGGAGGACGCCCTGAACAAGCTGCAGGAGGTGGAGACGAAGGTAAAGCACCTGGACGGGTTGCGGGCCGTGTGTAGTCAGCAAGCCCAGGCCCTGGCCAATGCCACGGCACAGCTGGAGGCCACCCAGCAGAAGCTCTTGCAGCTCGATGGGCTCTGGAAGGCCAGTTCCGAAGGTCAATTGGGAATGGAGAAGCTCAGGCAGCAGCTCCAGGTGGCTGAGCGGCAGATTCAGGAGTTAGAGAATGCAAAGCGGGCCGAGAGCTGCAGGTTGGTTCTCGGGCGCCCTCGCCCACTTCCACGCTCGCTCCCTGCATGCTGTGTGTCAGTCTGCTCACCGCTGTGTTCCGGCTTGGTGCTGACAGGTCTCCTTGTCACGTCCCGTGCGGTTCCCTCTGAGGGGACTGAGAAGGAGTCGGCATGATTCGGGGGTTGTCATTGGTCCCCAGCACCCGGATGCCGTGCTAGCCTTGGCCCCGGCTAATCGGGCCCATCTGGGGTCTTTCTGAAACAGAGAATTCTTCACGAGGCCAGTGAGAAAACAAGATAGGAGCCCCCAGAGCAAACCTCTGCCCCCCACCTCTTGGGCTTGCTGCATACTCGCCGAGTTCGCCCAGACTCTTGGGCTCGAGTCAGGCCACGAGGGTCTTTCCCTGACCTTGCTGACCACCTGCTCGTGTGACGGGCTTTGCCCTCCTCTCCCCGAGGCGCCTCAGTTCCCAGCTGGTGCTCGATGCCTCTGAGCCTCTGAGCTCCCTCAAGGCTGGTGACGTGGCCCATCTTGGTATTTCTCATTGCCAGCCCCTCCCTCCCTGCAGCACAAGCCCCCGCGCAGCCCTGCAGAGATTTCATCCCTTTCAGCTTCTAACATGTGCTTGGGCCAAGTCCGCCTTCCAGCATGGCCCCCTGCTGGCCACAGGCATGGACTCTCATGGTAGCCCTGACCCTGGGGAAGGACGAGACAGTGAGATCTGGGCCAAGCCGAGGAAGCTGCAGTTCTCACCAAGGAGCCCCGAGAGATGCCCTTTTCCTCCTATAGGATTGTGGTGGCAGGGACGTGCCCTCACCCCCCCTCCCCCCCCGCGCTGGTCACTTTGTTGGAGAAACTTCTCTGTTGGCCAAGATGGAAGGGCTGTGGGCTTTCTAGACAGGACTGACAGACATAACAGAAGGGCCCCGAGATCCCCGGGAGTTCCTCTCAGGACTCAGGACTCCTTGGCTGGCATTCCAGAAACACCGGCTGAAACAAATGGAATCAATTCCTAGGACAAAGCAGGGGATAGCTGACCCACTTGTTCGCATCAAGATGTAACAAACGTCAAGTTCTGGTGACTGCTGTCTAGGGGATTAGAGGTTCCTCATTTTAAATTTCATATTGAAACCCCTCAAACTTTTAAAGTCACAGAAAAGAAACTACAAGAAAGTAAATCTTGGGGGCCGGAGTGATAGTACAGTGGGAAGGGCATTTGTCTTGCACGCGGCCCACGTTGGTTTGATCTCCATCATCCCATAGGGTCACTGTCATTGTCTCTATCCTCCCGTTGTTTATCGATTAGCTCGAGCGGACCCAGTAACGTCTCCATTGTGACACTTGTTACTGTGTTTGTCATATCGAATACATCACGGGGAGCTTGGCAGGCTTGCTGTGCAGGCGAGATACTCTCGGTGAGCTGTCCGGGTTACATCCAAGGAGAAATTCCTGAGCATTTAGGGTAACCGAAAAAGCCAAAAGGAAAAAAAAAGATAACCTTTTATTCCCTCCCTCCCCTCCCTTTCCCTTTCTTCCCTGTTTCCTCCCTCCATCCTTCCTATCCTTAGCTTCCCTCCTCCCTTGCTTACTTCCTTCTTCCTCGCCAAGCCATGCTCTGGGCTCTGGGGTCTTCGCGCCCAGCAGTAGTGGGGCTTTGCAGCTTGTGGACCGATCTCAGTCTCGCCCAGTGGTGCTGCAGTTCCAACTCGGGCCTGGTGTGTACTCCAGCCCTTTGTGCCGTCTCCCCGCCCCTGGAAAGTCAGTCTTTCTCATAGGCTTTCTTATTTTCTGGTCACGCCAAAGTTAGGTCTAGAAAACGCCTCTGTTTGGGCCGTTTTCAATAACCACTAGACAGTCATCACCAGAACTGCCGGCGCCAAGGCCTTGGCTTCGTGAACTTCAGGCAATCACGCTCACCTCACACCTCTGTTATTCGGGGTTGTGTTGGGTCATGGGCTTCTCATACGTGTTTTCTGTTTTGTTTTCCCCTTCCCGTTCCTGTTTGTCTCCTTGGTCCATTCACTCCATCCTTGTGACTCTGGTAGGCCGATAGCCTGGCCGAAGAGCTGCAGGGGAAGGGGCTAGCGCTTCGTAGTCTTCAGGAGAACTTGAACGAAAGCGGCCGAGCTGAGGGGCCGTGTGTGCGCGCGTGTGTGTGCATGTGTGTTTGTGTGTGCATGCTGGTGAGCAGAGCAGAGGGGCCGTGTGTGTGCGTGTGTGTATGTTTGTGTGTTTGCGTTGTGTGTGTGTGTGTTCATGTTTGTTCGTGTGTGTGCGTGTGTGCTGGGAGCGGGCAGGGGGCCGGCGGCTGACAGTGGCCCCCGGCTCCCCACAGGAGGAGAAGGTGGACGTGAGCCGCAGCCATTGCCAGGCTCTACAGGCCGAGCTCACCAAGGCCAGCGTGGAGATCCAGGGGCACCACGAGGAGGCGCCGCAGGCCCTTCAGCAGCTGCTGCTGCAGGCGAAGGAGAAGCTGCAGGCGGTGCAGGCGGAGAACGGGAGCCTGCTGCGGGAGGTGGCCGAGCTGAAGACGCAAGCCAACAAGGCCAAGGTGGGTGGGCGCAGGGCAGCGCCGCGGCTGATGGCGGCCGTGGCCCGTGTGTGTGTTGGTGCCTGGCCGCTTTCCACCACGCACCGCAGCCAGGGCTACGTCTCCTCTCTGGACCACCTGCTGGCCCAGTTCTGTGGCCAGCAGCCTCGTGTGCATGCTCAGGTCAGTCCCATTCCGGTAACATGGCCGTCTGCGGTCAGCTGCCCAGCACACACCAGTAGCCTGCTGCGGCTCATGGCTGCTGAGCTGGACAGAGAAGATAGCCCTTGCTGCAGAAAGTTCTGGAAAGTACATGGCGGTTCAACTGTGGTGTGCATTGAGACTCAGAAATGAAAACGCACAACCTGTTGCTGACGGGCAGGGAGAGCAGGTGAGGGAGACCCTGACCCGTGTGCGGCCAGTCCTCCTGGAGCCCCTGGGTCCCTCCCAAATGACTGCAAACACTACCCTCCCATTGTTCATCAATTTGCTCGAGCGGGCCCACTAATGTCTCCATTTTGAGACTTGTTACTGTTTTTGGCAAGCAAAAACTGTTGGCTTCAGTCTCCAAAGCTTGGTGGATTCGTCTGGATTTTCTATAAAGTGGATAACTTTTGGGACTAAGTCCATTTCCTGCCTCTGTTTGTCCCTGTGAAAATCGTTTGAAAAGCAGTGGTTGCTTTTCCCTTCCCCTCCTGCACAAAGTTCCAAAACAAAATACTTTTTGTAGTTCTTTGAATTGTATTGAAAACTAGTTTTTGAATGCATCCCTTCTAGGACAGAGTGATGGATTTTATAATAGAAGAATTGAAGTGGGGGGAAAAATCTTATGCCCCAATGTCAAGATCCAACTGTACTTACACCTTCCGGGGAGCTGTCAGGAATCATTTCAGACAGCATTTCAAAAATCAACTCGGCTGATAGTAGAATGGGTAGGGTGCTGCCTTGTACTCGGCCAACCTGGGGTTGATCCCCAGCATCCCGTCCTCCGGCCCTGCCAGCAGTGATCCCTGAGCACAGAACCCTGAGCGAGACCCGAACACCAGCAGGTGTGGGGCCCCCATCCACAAAATAGGCAGGTAGTTATGTTGACGCTAAGAAGCTAACTGTGTCTGAGCCTCTCCATCCTGAGTCTGTGTGTGTGTGTGTGTGTGTGTGAGTGTGTGCGCGTGCGCGTATACACGCGTGTGCAGGTAAGACTACTCTGCCATTTTCATTTCTGGTATTTAGGCCACATGAAGTGGTTGGCTTGCGTGTGCCTGCTTGATCTCATTCTTGTTTCCATTCTTCCCCGCTTTTTGTTTCTGCAGTCCTTAACTTGCTTATTAAGCTCGGCCAAAGAAGAGATGGAGCTGATGTCAGAGGATCGCAGGGCCCTGAGGTCAGAGAATGAATTGCTGGCGAAGGAGAAGCTCTGTCTGAAGTCCGAGAGAGGGTGGTTTGAATTGAAACTCAGAGAAGCGGAGGCCAAAAACTCTTCGCTGCGGGAAGAGCAGAGGAAGCTCTGGCTGTTGAACCAAGCGATTCGCTTGGATAAGGAGAAGGTCATCGAGGCCAGGTGGGCCGCGGAGAAGCTCTGCCAGCAGGAGCGGCTGGACCGAGAAGCCCTCGAGGCGGAGAAAGAGAAAGTGCTGGAAGAGGGCAGGGCGGTGCAGGAGGAGCTCCAGAGGGTGGGCGCGGAGAAGGACGCACTGCAGGTCGCCAAGCTGGGGCTGCAGGCCCTGGTGGAGGAGCTGCAGATGAGCAAGAGCAGCCTGGTGGCTGAGTGTAACAAGGGCCTGGAGGAGAGGGGCCAGCTGGAGGAGCATGTCAAGAAGCTGGTTCTGGAGAACCTATCCCTGGCCAAGGACAAGGACAACATCATCCAGAAGCTGCAGTGCTCCTACGAGGAGCTGGCTCGGGATCAGAAGTCGCTGGTGCAAGAGATCGAGGAGCTCACGGCTGAGAAGGAGGAGGCCGCCCGCGTGGAGTCGGCCCTGCGTGAGCAGCTGAACAGCCTTGGCTCTGAGAAGGAGCTGCTGGGCCAGAAGGCCACGAAGCTCCAGCGGCAGCTGCACTGGCTGCTGAAAGACCAGGCACTGCTGGAGGCGCAGCAGACCGAGCTGCTGGCCGAGCGGGAGGCGTCCCTGCAGGCCCTGGCCTCCCTGGAGGACACCAGGAACACCAATGCGATGATGCAGAGTAAGGTGGGTGATGGTAGTGACCAGGGCTGTGTAGGCCCGGCCTCAGCCTTGAGAGAAACCATATCCTGGGCCATAGTGATAGCACAGCGGGGAGGGCGTTTGACTTACACACCGAATTCCCAGGTTCAATCCCCGGCATCCCATATGGTCCCCTGAGCACCGCCAGGAGTAATTCCTGAGTGCAGTGCTAGGTGAGCCAGTGCCCTCTGACCTCACAGCCCCACTTTCCCGGGCTCGAGTGACTGCTGACAGCCTGAGCTGTTCCACCCTAGCCAGGAGTGATCCCTGAGCACAGAGCTAGGGTTTAGTCCCTACCCCACTGGGTGTGGCCCCCAAACAAACCAAACTGACTACCCACAAAGGTTCTAGATAAGCATGTATACATACACAGACATGTACATATGTATATATGTGTGTATGCTTCAAAAGAGTCGGGGAATATCTACCATTTAAAATATCTGAGAATGATGCCAGAGCAATAGCATAGCAGGTAGGCTGTTGGCCTTGCACATGGCCAACCCAGGTTCCATCCCCGGCATCCCATATGGTCCCTGAAGCACCGCCAGGAGTACTTCCTGGGTGCAGAGCCTGGAGTCACTCCTGAGCAACGCCGGATTGTGACCCAAAAACCCCCTCCCCAAATTAATTGATTCTTTAAAATAACAGAAGCCAAAAAGAGGGAAGCTGAGGAAGAAGGGGCTGTGCTCCCCTGGCGCCCGTGAGAACCAGGGGCCGCGCACATGCTGCCGAAACCCCACCCCCACACGCTCCCAGCACAAGAGGTGATGCTTAAGGAGTGAGAGGCCCCATGGACAAGGACACATCCCTTCAGTCAAGGGGTCATGTCCTTGCCAGAGCCCTCCAATGCCCTTCCTCTTGCTGCTCTCCCAGAACCTGGGCTTCGGGCTCCATCACATTGGCAAATCTTCACGTTGCCAGAGTCGAACACCACTTTGGAGGGCTTCTTCCCTGCCAGAAAGGTTCAGTCGCAAACGGAAGCGCCCACCAGCATGTGGCTTTTCCAGCCTCATTGCGCATACTCTAGGCCCAGAGCTGGGGGAGTCTGGTTCTCTGGGCTGCCTTCCTGCTTCTTGCTCCTGTCAAGGGAGACAGCTGGGTGTGGTCCTCCGGGGTTTGCACACTTGGCTGCAGTCCGGTGCCCGCACCTACCATCACCAAGCTCGGATCTGGCCTGCAGCAGGAGTCAGCCTTGGGGCCTCCTTGATGTCTCTCCTTCCCCAACCCCCCTTCCATCCCACCCGGGTCTGCAGCGCTTTATCGTTTGAATCCTCTCCGAGGAAGGGGACCATCTGGGTCCCAGTGCCCTGAGGAGTTCCCGCACACCCTCACTTCCTGCACTTCTGTACTTAACAGCCGGTGGCCCTGGAGGGCACTTGTGGGCTGAAGTGAACTTTGCATGTGGGCTGTGCAGGTGGACCCTGTATGGGTTTGTTGGGAACTGAACATTTCCATGTTTTGTTTTGTTTTGTTTTGTTTTGTTTTGTTTTGTTTTGTTTTCAGCTGGAGGAAGAGAGATCTGCGTTTCTTGGCTCTAGTGTGGGATGGCCTGGGCACTCTCAGAGACTGGCCATCAGAACTTGCCCTGAGGGAGAAAAAGAATCAGTCTGTTTTTCTGGTTTTATTTACACTTTCTTTGGGGGCCACACGTGGCGATACTCCAGGCTTCCTCCTGGCTCTGCACTCAGGAATCACTCCTGGCTGCTCTCCGGTGGCCCCTATAGGATGCCAGGGATCAAACCTGGGTTGGCTGCGTGTGAGGCAAGCACCTTTCCCGCTGTGCTATCACTCAGACCCAACGCGCCTGCCAGTTTTCAAGTGAAACATGAATGTTTGTGCCTACAGTCATGCTTGCTTTTTTAAAGTGGGATTTCCCCCCGCCCCATTCATTTGAAAGAAGTGAGTTTGTCTTTGTAGGAGAGGGAAGACCCCTCTTGACTCCCTGCTCTGAGAAGAACCGAGGGGTACCAGCATCTCCTCCTGGGGTCTTCCCTGGGCACCCGGGAGCTTGCGCTCAGGAAGGGAAAGGGGAGCTCTGGCTGCCTCCAACCCTGGGGCGGGGACTGGAAGCGGGGCCCAGCCTCCTCTGTGGCGGGCTCCCATGGCTCCCGCAGATGGCTCACCGTCTCACGCTCTCCTTGAACACAGATTGATTTCCTGAATTCCGTGATTGTGGACCTCCAAAGAAAGAATCAGGACCTCAACATGAAAGTGGAGATGATGTCCGAGGGGGCTCTCAAAGGGAACGGAGACGACCTCAACAATTACGACAGCAACAACTTCGGCCCGGCCACCTCATTCTCTGCACTGTGCAGAAATCTCCAGCAGTTCCTGGATTAGATAGCAAGTACTTGTGAAACACCTAAAATAACCAATTTACTGTCTTTACAAAGTTTACTTTTTTTCCACTGTGGTTTTAGATGAATGTATGATGAGAAATTCAACATTAATAATTTTGGATTTTCTTATCAGAAAAAATTAAATGAAGGACCTGAACCATCAGAAGTTTATCATCCAGTCTGAATCTCTTTATGTTCATTTGAATGTTTTCTAGTTCTGTAAAACGTGATAAATAATGTACCATCAGGGCTACATGGATTATAAGAACTTCTATAATTGTATATATGCTTTTGATGTATTTTCCTCTGGAGATTATCAAGTGTCTCACCAGTGAAAGATCGTAATCCATTGACATTTTGAGTAATAAACACGATTGAAATTGTTTCACAA